CTGAAAATAATTGCAGCTTATTGCAGTTATTAATATGTGTAATGATCAACGCCACACGACAAGTAATCTACAGAAGCAATCATTTTTTGAAAGCAAACACGTTCTCCAGCTTTCATTATTAACACAATTATTCATCATTATTTATTCTAGCAAAATCTCTCGTGCGTACCGGAAATAGATTGGTTTAGGAAATAGATTGGTTTCATTATTTGGTTTTATTAGTTCCATTCACACTTAGTTGACGTCTTACCCAAATTCATACAATTCCAAATTTCTCCTCCAAAAAAAACCTGGACCATATAAAATAGGGTTCGTATACATGCAGCTTGGGTACTCCTTGATTTTTAAATTAATCCCATACGAATCCGCAATTTCTTAGCTATTCGTAGACTATTAAGCATCGGTGCCTTCAAAATGACGATGGAATTAAATATCCTGAATATACAAGGTTGCCAAATGCATTTGCACAAAAAGAATAAGTGCGACAACCGTATACAAGCTTGAGCCGATTGTTTGCATGTCATGTCGTTGAAACCAGTCGGTTTTTGTTTTACTCCCCAGAAAATTCTCAACAGTAGGACGTCGGTTGGGCTAGGCGGACTCTATTGAGCCTGGAACGATAAGTATCCGTTACCTCATGCAGAGGATGATGCAGAGGGTTTCTCGTCATTTTTGAAGTCAATTTGAACTCGAACTGGCACTTGTGCCCAATTCAACTTCTAATTGATTTTGAATATGGCGACAGATGTATCGTCCAAGTTCACGCAGCGTTCACTGGCTGGAACAATCGATTCCAGGTTATTTTTCGCCTTTGTCAATATTTCCAGCCGCAAAATGCCTTAGGCTATACAAGTTCTTTTCCAGTCATATATGTTTGCATATGGGGCGTCACAGGAAGTGAAGAGGTTTCCTGGTGACGTCGCGTGACGCGAGGTGAGAGTCGTTTGACGACAAAGTTGCAAAATAATTGTCGTTCTTACGTGTAAAAAGCTCTTCAACTCAACGAAATCCAGTTTAAATACCATGCATTTTTTAAGAATGATTTTCGCTTCGCGCTCACAAAGCAAAAAAATGCGCGAAATCCAGCCGCGAAAAAACGGGAATTTGATTAGTTTAAACTTAGTCCTAAGATTTACCATATTATCTTATAGGAAGAAAAATGGCAAATTCGGATCAAGATATACACGCCAGACGAAATTCTTGGAAAGATCGACTGTATCGAAATTTGATTCATAACTCATATGAAGAATTTACCAGGAAGTAAGTAGGTTGATAGTAAACCAAAAACTTGAAAGTAAAAGGCTTTCCGGCCTGCACAGACGCTTTGAATCATGAGGAATCCTATACGGATGAAACATGCAGACTGTTGTCCATAATTTTATTGTACAATCTGCAGACATGCGTGCATGCTTCGGCGTACAACGCCTCACCGCACGTTTTCTCTTACCAACCGCGCGTGGTTGACGACGGGGCCATATATCTACGTGTTAGAAATGCGCAAAGCGTAGTAGGGCCAGAGTGGCTGAAACGACCTTAAGGAAAGTGAGCTTTTCCATTATAGCGAAGTAGCACCTAGCTTTGGCAGAATGCGCAACAACACTGAAGTGAGTCAGCACAATCTGCAGACATATGTCCATGTTTCCGCGTTCGACCTACGCCTTCGGCGTGCGCAGCTTGGTAAATCATACCCCATTTAGTATATACGGTGTTAAATTTATAGATAATCAGTGGGTATGGAGTCAGATTATAGAATAACCAATAGATATTAGGGAGCTATAGTCGTGTGATCAGGACTTAAATAACTGTGTATTTGAAAATATTATTGCACAAGAGTTTCATCTAGTAGCGTACAGGAGACGATAATTGGGGGGGGGGGGGCACATATTCATATATTCATATTGTGAACGATTAATTTCTTTTCAGATCCATTGTCTTTACAGGTCTGTTAACATGAATATATGAATATGTGCCCCCTCCCAATTATCGTCTCCCGTACGCCACTGGGGTATCATCAATTGCATGATTTGATACTTGAGCTGGCGTATGATACTTTTGACTGTCTGAGTGATGACAGAGTTAAAAATATCACCTTAAAGAATCTTACTAGGAGATTTTTCATTAATTGAAAACGAACAACAGGAATAAATTTTCATAAATATCAATTCGTTAATTAAATTAAGGTTTTAATATCAGAAATGAATAATTATTTTTTCCAGCCGCAATAAATAGAATAGGTACGCGATGCGTACTACAGGCCGTAGAAATTCTCTTATACTTAATACATTCTGTGCCGAGTAAAAACATTTTTTATACCTATAATCTACGTAACACAATGTCACAACATGTCAGCTTGCAGGCATGCGCGTCTCTTCATGACCTCTTTCATGTTCCAATACCGACAATAAACTATAAAATTACATGTGTACATGTGATCCCTTGGGGCTACTAACGTACTACAATTACCATATCTGTTTGCATTCCGTAATGCTATGAAATTTAGTTTACTGCAAGCGGTCATACGGGACTCGATCATACCCGTCTTATTTTGTCCTGTATAGTCACGCTAAAGAACGGTTTTGCAAGGCTTTACATTGCTGCGTTAACTCACATTGCATACCCACAATATTGTCCAGTGCATGTATATATCTAATTCTGCAACTAATTGGTTATTTCCAACTCTTAAGAGGGCCCCCTATACCCATCCATCGATCCATGTCACAAAGGCCAAGTCGCCTATCCGGCGTGTTGTACAATGACGCCTGTTCATGTTTTTAATATTTTTCGATTTTTACCGAATAAATTGTGGGCCAGTATAAGGGCACATTTATTCAGGGCACCAAGATTATTCAGAGCGTGAATTGAATTTCGAAACAGCTTAAAGTGCGCAATTTATGATTATTCAAATCGATGTTTCTAACTGTTCGCACATACTTGAGAAAAAGAAACATTGAGATCTTCAGGATCTTCTCAGCAATAAATGATTCATCCATTCACGCTTTTTAGTGATTATTTATACCCAGGTGCTTTCGTTACAAAATAATCGGATTTCGCTTGTGGGAAACCCGGTTGAGGTTTGAATACTCTTGAATTCCATGCAGTTTTTTGAACGAGCAAGGTTTGCGCCTTAAAAGCCAGGGGCCAGTTGTTCAAAGCTGGGTTAGCCCTGAACCCTGCGTTAAATTTTAATCCACTGTTTTGGTTTAAAATGCTGTGGCCGACTAACAGTCTCGATAGTCCTATGAGCATACCGGCTTCGCTAGTCTAACTTCTTATTTGTACTACTACATCATAAAACCAACAGCTTCATTTAGTCATCCATATTCCTTAGATTTTTCTTAGAGAAAAACTACACGTAAACAATAATAATGCATACTATAACAGTCGCGTAAGAATTTCCGAATCAAAACAATTTTTTCCGAATCATTCCTTATAAGTATATATCTAATTGACAAGGCGCAATAAATTATAAGTAATTAGGCATTTGCTCATCAGGCATACATGGTTCGAATATCACATCTCTGTATCGCTGAATTGATTAATAATGGAATGTTCTAGTGCAGCATTTGAAATATTGTCACACAGTGTGAACAGAACTGTTTTGCGATTACTCCGTTATTTCCTCAAAATCTGAGGGTTAACCAGCCCCTATTTTCCCACTAGCGTTACAGCCATGCTTGTGTTTCAAACAAGATCTCTGTAAGAGTAAACTCGATCGCTATCAGTCATTATCTCCTTATGCGAGACGGATGCGTGGGTGACTCGCGCGATGTACACGCGAAGATCGGACGACATACTTGGGACAATGAAGTCCTAATGATTATAGCTACTCTTGAGGATTATTGGGAATTAAGGTTGTGTGATTTTTTTTTAACAAAATATCTGATCAAGCATAATCGCGTTTGATCGCAAATGCCCATATACGTGTGTAACTGATACAGAAAGGAGACAAATATTTAATGAATAAAAAAAGTTAACTTTGTTTGTCTATGTTTTATGCATCTCCTTAAGACAAGAAGCTGCAGTATAGTGTCACTTAGGAAAAAAAAATCTGCAGCAAAGCAGTGTAGAGTTTGTCGACCAGAATGGAGAATTTTTAATGACTTTTAATTACATTTTGTCTTATGGCTAAAAACAGAAGTTTTACTGGTAACTAGAATGATTCCGGAACTGATGCTGTTTTGAAAATCCTGTCTCGGAGTTGTCCCGAAACGATTTTTCAGGGGGAATTAGGGCCTTTCTGCAGACTGTTCACCGAAACATGCCTGTTTCGTCGTCTCAAAGGTGTTTTGTCTGGAACTGTGGAATAACATATCTCCCGACTGATCAAAACTGATAGATTTTCTTTTGTAAACAATGATTCGTTCCAGTTTTCCCCATCGTACACCCCATATGATAACCTGAAGATTACTGATGAAGATCTCTAACTTTTGACGTTTTATTATAATTCATGAGATCGTCACTTGATGTTGTTTTGGTAGCATGCTAACTGATGAAAACAATATTTATGCATATATTAAGACAATCTCTTCTTTCATGGATATTGCTGGTTTAATAAGAATTCTTTAGTTTCAATTATCATGTAAAATATTTATGCAAAGATGCAAAGTAGACTGGATATGAAATCAGATGATGTTTTATCATCTTCAGCTAATAGAGCTTAGCGACCAATAGGAAGCAATTGCATGCTAAAATTAAGTGTCAAATCTCGAGACTTGAATGGCATCAGTGGATTTCACTCACAACCGACATGCCATGGCGATAGCAAACAGTGGCTTTCATTATAAAATTGAAACATAGTAATAGTGAACGATAGTAACTCTGATTCATACGTGTTTACACATTCGTACATGATATAAAGAGACTGTATATGCTTGTAGCTCGCGGTAGACTGTCTTCACACTTGCGGTGGCGAGTATATAAAATCTTCAGCTATAATTAATACGAATATACCATGAGTTCACGAATGGGCTTTCACAAGTAAGTTGGTTTACTTTCATATAATCAATATATAATTTATATATATACACAAACCTTCAGCGCGAACAAACCTTAATAAGATAGCATCTGGTTTTTAAAGCGAAGTCCTCAGACTGATATTCATAAATAAAGTACGGCGAGATCGATGCTATTATTGCTATAAACGCCAGCATTTTTCTCACAGTATTGAATCAGTAAACATATCGGTATTTGTGTTGTGTAGATACTAAAATATAGTCTCTGTCTCATTGCACAGGAGTGTATATCTGAGTGTTATATATTCTAAAAAAATCAGTATCATATACTTCGGCAGATCAAATGCCGTATAATTAATTACACTGCCCATGGGATTGGGCAAGAAATATGATAACATTCGTCGAGTGTTGCACAACGTAATTGTACATATGTAAACTAGATTAATCCTGTCTGTATAAAACATCACCTTTCGACTAACATGCATGCAAATGAGTCGTATACAGGCACGATATTCGTCTGAAACTACACTGTCTATGTTAACAACTTTCACATACTTTAAGGCCGGTAGATATATCAAATTTCATATCGTACGCTATTCTCCATCAATATTTTGTTGCTCTGTGCGAGTCTCGTCTAGTCAAATGGCCTTGGATACCGAAATTGCCATATCGATTTAGCATGCGAAGACACATACGATGCGTGTAATTTTTGCGACACCCGCCCACACAACATTGATTAAACGACAATGAAATATGTTTACTTTTGAACGCCTAAAAGTGCTCTCTATCAAAACACGAAAGCTTTGAACAAATTTGGAGTTCATGCTGACCGCACTCGAGTTTGAAAACAAACACTTCCTGCGTTGCAAGGTAGTACTGAATAACAACCTCATATATAAGGTAGCCAGAAATCTTTGTTGTCATGGATGGAAAACAGAGTTTGATGTCAGATAACACATCTGAGCTATCGGCCGAAAAGTCCCATTCGGTCAATCATCTAGGAATACCCTCTAGTTACAACAGAGGTGTAAGAAAGTAAGTTGATATTTTTCGAATATTATTTTGCTCTTTTGACCTGTGTTTACATATCGCCTTTCGGACAAACTAAATGCCCTCAATTTTCATCATTTTTGTTGCCTGAAATTGCAAGAATAGTCTATCTTTAACTTGATGTTTGGGAACATTTGTTTACTATGCGACATAATGAAAATGTCGCGTGAATATAAAGTTACGGTGTTGAGGTTTCTGCCTGTATATATGCCTTTTATGGTTGGTGCAAATTTTTGAAACCATTGTGTGATATTGACGTCTTTATGCTGTATGTATGTCAGTTTAACTGCAGTGTATCTCTGTATGTAGCACAGTGGGACATGTTCGTGACAATTCATAGCCCTGGGAGCCATGAAATTACGTTTGGGTGTTCGAATACCGAATTCTCGTCATGCTTAACTGCACATTTATTACTCTTTTGCGTTCTTGAAAGTTCTTTACTCTAACATCAGAAATTCGTACTATAATATCAAATTTGAGATCGGTATCTCGAAGGAAATTTTGTGATTAGCAGGGAAAGCATCTGTAATTATCGTATCAGTATTAAATATAGTCATAATATACGACATTGTCCTCTGCAGGTGTTTCAATATTGCCGTCACAAGGAACGCTGGGATAGATTAATTATATGTAACCATTGTTGTAGACGTCCCATAGGAAAGTAAAAGACAATTATATATTAGGCTATTAGTATATTAGGCTATTAGTTTAAGACTGTACATTGGAAACTTTTCCCTTGAACAAAATATTGCTCGCATACGCTAGAACGTAATGCTTATTCAATATGACGTTGCATAATGCTAATTTCAGGTCAACGGCTGAATATATAGTTTGCACTTTACTTCATGTCTTCATAAGATTATTTATGCATGCAACGCTTACGAAAAACACTACTAAACACCGCATTTAAAATAAGACAAAATATCAATTTGACTAAATATGTCCTGAAAATTCTTCTTGTTGACGTTTTGACTAACAACAGTCATGACGAAATACATAAACGAAAACAGAAAGTTGGAATTTAAATCACAGGCACAGGAATGACAATAGTCAGATGAAACAATACAAAGATATTTTATACTCTTTAGATACCAGGCCAGGGCCAGTTGTTCAACGGCTGAACATAGTTTACTTCATGATCATAAGATTATGCATGCCAGAAAATTCTTCTGGTCAGTGTAGTTTCCTTAAGGTTTTCACTAACAAATTTTGAACAGCTATGACGAAATACGTAAACGAAAACAGAAAGTTGGAATTTAATCCACAGGAATGCTAATAGTCAGATGAAACAATAGAGAGAATACGGTGATAATTGTATACTTTTTATAGATACCGATGCAGCTACCCAAAGTGCGTATACCTCGAGGAATGCGGAGAAATACGCTTATTCAGTCATTTTGCGAATGCCTTTCTGACGTTCAGAAGCAATAATTTATGTTTTTGGCAAAGTTTAATGATAATCACATACCCGCTACTATATACATATATAATCTGTTGTTTATCTTACATCTCCACTCAAAATGTTGACATAACAAGAACGCTCATAACCGACGGTATTTGAAATTGTATACAATTAATGTCCCTATACTCGAGCCTTATTATACTCAGCGGTTTTCAAATATTTGGTTTATCAAAAAACTGCAAACTCTTTTGAAATAAGATATTTTCATAATTCAGCACTGATTGATCCTATAAAAGTGCGTAAAACAATGCCTGGTGATGTCGAAGACTCGACGTTCGTCCTGCGAGAATTTGTGTGGCTATTCACACGACAAGGAAGAAAAACGTATTTTCAAATTCCAGATTTGCACTTAAGAGTTTGCATGCTGTTGTTTTTTAAACATCCAGCAATAATTACTAGTTCAGAAATTGAACGGTTAGAATGCAACCGTGTGAAAATCCAGTGCTTGGAAATCAGTTATCTCACTTACTCTTATAATGAGTTGAAATAGATGGCTCTCTAAAAAAACATTGTATAATTGGTTCACCTTGACGAATAATTGAAAAATATTTTGAACTTTCCTAACCATTTTTTTTTATCTAGACGAAGTTTTGATGATGCACAGAGTCGTCTGAAATCACGAAAAATTCTTGGCTTGGGTGGAAAAGAATCATCCAAGGTTTACAGGATCTATGATATTGTTTTATATCACTCCATTTCAATGCATTCAAAAGTATTCTGTTATTCACATAATAGTCTGTGTGTTGGTGAATGTGCTCAATGGCATTTTCGCTAGAAATTTCCACAAATTAATCCAACTTTTTAAACGTCAAGTGTGAAGTGATAGGCCAGCATACATTTCAGTATAGGCTACTTCATCTAAATAATATCGTTTTTAAAAATTTTTTCAATGTGAAGACAACCCAGGTGGAAGCTAGCCAGATTTTAATCGTTCACCTTTTTACCGTTAAAGAGAGGGATGAAATAGGATAGGCTTGTGTGTTTGGATGGTTTGATCCAAACACGCGGGAATGTCGTGAGAGTTAAGAAAAGCGCGCGACACAAGCTAAATGCGAGGGATTTTGGGAGCTTTTTTTAACTCTCGCAACATTCCCGGGTGTTTCGAGCAGGCCATCCAAACTTGAGAAACGATTATGTAATTGTTTTATAAAATAACAACCACCACAACAACAACAACAACAAGTTTCCGTGTTACAATAAGATGTTTATTGAAAAGGGGATAATTTTTTTTTTATTTATCTCAGTCCAAAGAAAAGATAACGATGCTGTGCTTTATTTCTTTAGGTACTTCAAGTATTAGGAAATTGTGAGCACTTAGAAACAAAGTTGCCAATTGGATTGAGGTAATAAAATTATATCTTGTATTGATTTGTGATCACTGATCGGACGAAACACTGGATAGACAACTATGCCAACTATAAGATTAATCATTGAACTTTGGAGAGCAGCTAAACTGAATTCAAACTTGAAATGTTGAAATATTGAACTTTCCGGGACCATGAACCGAGTAAATTACTACCTTATGAGCGTCCACCAGCAAGCGCCCTTTAGATCAATATAACAACCGCCTCAAGCATTTATCGCCCAAATCTTGTTCAGGACGCTCTCGATTAGAATGGCTTATTAAATAACGCACGTGGGGCAGATGTATCACCGTTGATATATTCCGTATAAGAAAACGTCCCTCCCCTTCTTGTAAAGATAAAGCCTTATCAGCGAACTAAGTTGCTTTAAATATGTACAAATACTCTAGACATAGGAGCATTTATTTTTTTCTAAATGTGGTATAAATGTGAAAATATGCACAGAGCTTTTTTTCATCTGTGACACTAGAGCCCAAAACGTGCCAGCTCCTGCCCCCCCCCCCAACATCTTGTACGTACAGTTTTTATGATAATGAATATATGAATTGCACTTTTAGCCTATGGCTCACTTTCTCTTCGCTAATGTTTCTTGCAATGGCCCTTCTGGTGAGTGCTTTTATCTGTTGCATGCATTCATTCTGCAGAATGCAGATGCTTCAAAGAATATCAACACATTGTAGAAGTGGCAAAGGATTACTTGTTGAGTGTTGAAGTTTCAAATGGATTAAGAATTATTTGCTGAAAAATCGACTCTCGATTATATTGGAAACTTAATTGAATGTTGCCTTGACCTAAACCTCTGCACATGTACATAGACAGGCGCCTTAGCTTGCAAAATCTTCTTAAAATTTGATTCTTTCGTGATAAAGGCCGGATTGGTCGATTTAATATGAGCAAAGAAGGCCGCTAAAATGTTTTTTCGAAAAGTTATACGTTATCTCCTACATTAGTAATGTTATTGTGACGATTTCTTTCATTACTCTTTTTATCGGATTGCTGAATAACAAATCCTGACGTGTGAATATTTTTGTTTGATTTCAGTGCATCCTGTTATTTAAACCATTTTCATATTTACTGGGTGTTGATCATTCTCCCCGCATAAATGTGATGGAAGTCAGACTGTTGGGAGCTACATTCGCTGGTAATTATTGAATATAGATCAGTAAACATTCCCCCCCCCCCTATTAGGCAGTCTAGCTACGGCCCTGTTCACGCCCCTTTCAACTGCGACTTGCAATGCAAATTAGTTTTATGTGAAATTCGGTCGGCTCTTTGAGCTTCATTTATCTATGCAAATTGTGCTCAAAATTAATTCGTGTTACAAGGTCTGAACAGATGTTGGAACTTTAGATAACTGATAGCAGTTCTGCAACAGCATATAAAAACCTCTACAGATTGGTTGTTAATGCCGAAGTTCAATATATTCAGTGCAATTACAATTAATGTTTTTTATATATCTTTAGGTTTATCTGGTCTGACTTGGTTGACAAATGCAACTTCTTACTTTGTGCTAAGGTAATATTCTGAGACGTGTGGGTGATAAAAAGGCACATATAGGGATATTTGTCATAAAATTTTAATATTTTGGGAAGGCAGAACGAGTCAAAACAATTCTGCTCATGACGTCATGTGTTGATTTGACAGGCGTAGTTTCGTAGATTGTGTAACTTTTCCTCGACAGAATGCTCAGTATAGTTATGTGTCTAATATCCTTCATAATGGATACAACAGTCTCGTATATAAAAATAGTTTATTTATCAATAATCCCAATCTAACCAAACCATAATTTATCATCTTGAGAAATTCAAATTACAAGTTTGAACGAAGTGGTTTGAATGACGGCGCTCAATACAAGCCTAGTCTGGCATAAACCCCTTAAAGTTTAATTAGTCTGGTTTAAACGAAGTTTTCATTCCGCACCTCATACATGATACTTCACTCATATAATATTTTGTAGTAGTATAGTATTTTTTTTTCTAGGAATGTTCTATTAACACATTTGGTTTACTTTGGAATTGCAGCTTTTGGTATGGAGAGGTTTTTCTGTCCATTTTAACTTTCAGAAAATTTTGATAATTAAGTTGTGAGCTGCAGGGTGTTTAAACCTCAACAGACCTTTACGCAGGATACATTCAATTTAATCATTTTTGCTTCTTATGCTGTATATATGAAAGCGAAGTTATTTAGTTTGCCAATCATACCTTTCTTCAGTTTATAAGCAAGACATGATCAAAATGAAAATGAAAATAATTGAAAATGAAATTGAAATGAAAATTAGTGATCGAAATCAAATTTACCTGATTGATGATAAAACGAAGCAAATTCATTAAAAGCTTTGATGAGTGTATGCGCCAATATATGTATGTATTTGTCAAAAAAAGAAAGTCGTATATACCAAATTGCCGTAAACGTTGCCAGTATGAAAGGCGTTGTTATGTTTTGAATTACCCTGAATCACTAAACTACATGCTGGATCTTACGAACATATTAACTGCATGTATGTCGTAAGCTTTTTAACAACCCATTGTTTATTCTTTCTCTTTAGTATTCACCCGCGAACTTTACGTAGAGTACAACAAATACATCGCCTTGTCGTTGATCTTCCACGTCGCCATTTTTTTCGTGACACTTGCTTACGTCATCATGTTACAACGAGTGAATCAACCAGTTCCTGACAAACCGGTCAGTTTTGCTGACTCAGATGATGGCGAAGCATTTAATTGAGAACTTACAGAGCAAATGGAATGGTTGTAAATTTTCTTTCATCATGCGTTCGCAAGGTGGATAGAATAATTGGGAACTTGACCGCCGTCTAAATGATTTCGATATTACTAGGATATGTATATGTATATTTGTAATGGTACGGTCAGCCATATCTCATACCTTTTGTTTGAAAAAAAAACAAGTGACTTTCGAGAGACTAAGAAGATTGCAAGGATTTGATACATATTAAGAAAGAGGAGGTAGCCATGATCTCATGGTTCCAGAATATCCCAAATTTTTAGAATACTTAGAAAGCTTGTGTATTTGTTTTTGTTGCCCCGTTTAATGGGTGGCAAGTGAGAGGGACGGGGGGGGGGCTAGCATGCCAAACAATATCTATTATTGTAGCTAATTACATCACAGATACTTATATTGTAGCAAATTACACCACAGATAATCATGCCCATTTCAAACTTCACACCTAAAGCAATCCCGAAAGGCCTAAACGTCCCTTTTCGAGAATACCAAACTATATCATTTTAAATAATTACATGACAGATACTTATTAAGAATTAAAAAACAAAGTCAATAGTCAGAATCTAGAGCAAATTATGTAACAAATTGAACCAGAAGAATATAACGATGGAGGGTTTGTATCTATACTTTGAAAAAAAAGATTAGTATATGAAGAATCATGCGTGTGCTGTCGTGTACATATGTTTAAAAAATATATTAAAAAGCACTGGTCTTTTAATTTCCTCTTCCAAGAAGAAGATATAAAGCCTGGTGCTGCTATAAATCGCCCCTTTTTTTCCGTGCAATTTCGTCATTGATACAAACTAGAAAAACTGAGCAGGAAGCCTTTGTTACCCATACAATTAAGGCTGCGTCACTCAGATTTTGTTTATTTTCACCTTTTTGCTAGGCGTATTAAAAGCCACACAAAAATTTAGAAATGAATAAGAGATCTTGAAATTTTGACCGCAGATAACTTAGCCTCGTTTTGGCATAACTCGGAAAGAATGAAATTTTGTCCACGGAAACGACTAAACGCTGAAGATAAATCTTTCCAGATTTTACTTAAAAAGCTTGAGAACTAGTTTCGTTTTCTTCGCGGGAGAATTGGGGGAATTCTGTACACTTTACCAGCTGAAAAGGTGTGTGATATTTAGTTTTATCCCCGTAAACGACTAAATGCTGAAGATAAATATTGCCAGATTTTGCTCCAAAAAGCTTGAGAACTAGTTTCGATTTCTGTACGGGGGAATTGGAGGAATTCCGTTCCCAGTTGGTGGTTTTTAAACGTCTGACGACACTTGATTTTGATCGAAAATTAGCTTTGATTTGCCGAAAACGTAGATGACAATGATTTTTGTCTAAATTATTTGTTTCAATTTCGATGCTGTCTCCACATTCTTTACAATATTGTAGGACATAAACTGGAAGGTAAATTAGTGGATTATAATCATAACGATTTCTTTTACACGGCACTGACTCAGACGCGGCTAGAAATCTTGTCATGCTGAGTCGCATATTTCTGCAATTCATTGTGTCGCATTATTGAATTGCCATATTAACTACAAGAATTCTACATCGTACAGTTAGTTAAGAAGTGTGTGAGTCAATCATAATCACAGCATGTGACAATGATTATTCCACAACAAATACCAATTTTGAATGGCGTTTAGATTTGTTGAAAATGAAAGTTACAAAGATCTGTATTTGTTTCAGTTTTGATGCACAATTGTCCCTCTTAAGGATGTTGTAAGAAATAAACCATTGAAGGTAAGGAGTTAACGTGGGAAGTTAGCCCTGTGTGGCTAATTGACATATTTGTGCGAGGCATTATATCAGATGATGTAATTATTCAATTCCAACGCAAGCCCACACAACACGAATTATAACCTATATCAGCGACTGAAGCAGTGTTCATGTTAACCTTAGAAACCTAAATTCCTAGAAATAACTTAGGAGAGTCAACCCTGAGTTCGAAGCCGAAGTTAGACGCAAAATTAGGAGTGGGTGTATATTATTATGTTCTTGTACCTAACCATCTATGACCAACGTGTTTGTTTTCATTTTTCTCTTAACCAAGTAGAATACCCGACATTTTAAAATAAGAAAAAAGGTAGCGAGAAAATATTGCCGTCTTCTCATGCATATGTGCATGGACGTCGCTAGAAAACTTATTTGTTGTGTATATTCAAACATTCGTGTTAAGATACCGTAAAAACAATCGGATTCCAAAGTAATCTGTCGGGCATATGAATAATATACGAGCATATATAAAGACCTTTTGTGAGCTATCTGAAACTTTGGCTATGTCCACACCAGCATACACACACACAATAAAAAATTATATAGTGCATGTCAAAAAGGTTGTCCCTTCATAAATCGACAATATATATATCAGACATGTGACCACATATTGTGGAATTATTATTGACGGCAGCATCGTACGATTGACGGCATCGAACACCAGCTAGAAATTTGGAATTACATGAGATTACATGTAAACCTTGCGAAAATCTGGATTTATTAACCCTCCACTCAAATTCGATCTATTATACATGAAATTTCATGCATGCATTTGAAAAACCAAAAATCAGCTTACATGCACTTTCCTTGATTGGAAGGAACAAGTTAATAAATATACTTGCGCGTATGCATGACGATATATGAACTATTCTCTCGTGCAAAGCATTTTGGATTTCATACAATTACTCAAACTCATCGAATATTTCTAGGCATCCAATATTTTGTGTTGGATGTATACTGGGGAGGCATATATTTAGACAAGGTTTCGAGCCCCTACGTATATCTTTTTGTTCTCAAAAGAAAGCATACTGAGTTATATAGCAGAAGTTGTGCGAGAAAAGTAAAGGTTAAATTAAGAAACCCACCGCACAACTACATGTACAAACATATAAGTATTCGTTAGGTTGTCTGTTTACTATATATATGTTTACTCGCAGTCACATGAATTCACAGCGTATATAGCGTAATCCTAAAGTGTAACACACAATTAGCATAACAACAACTGAAAATGAATCCTTGGATGAAAGAATGGTAATATGTAGTTTGATTTCGGCAAAATATGTAGCTGTAAGATTATATGCTTTATAAAATATTTATCCTGTCACCAAACCACTTGAATTTTTCCATGCAGTATTCTGAAACATGCACGCATATATAGATAGGTATAAAAAAATTCATTATTCATGGATTCAAAATATTTTAATGCAAGAAGTATAATCAATATTGAGGTTTGCCTTGCCATTACAATTCATGTACGAAGTATAAACATAATATAACAAGGTTTTTTAAAATTAAACCAGTTAATGTTTCCATATAATTATGTGGTCACGTTTTGACATGCATATATATAATTAATATAATTAGCTTTACTCCTATTAACTTCTATTGTATATTGACGGTGTTTGAAGCCGTTTTGTCATGACAACGAACGTGAAAACGCTCGAAAACGTTACCATCAGAACATGGTGTAACAAAATGGGATTTTTGGATTCTAGATACGTTTTCTATTTTTAGATTCTAGACAAACGTTAAATAAAAATTTAAAATTGCAGAAATTATAACCTGATTTTACATATTATAATACAAAATTTCCCCGAAAGCAAAAACTTCCTAGAAACTCCTGCTTATTTAATTTCATGCTTCGAAAGAAATTTCAAAGGGGAAATTCTACAAGGAAATTATATTATTGTTCTTCACTTATTCTGCTTCTGCCTTCTTGTTTGGGTTTTCTATATGATTATATGATTGTGCCCTACTGTTGATTTTGCCCTTATATCAAAACTTAAATGACGAAAATTAATCTTAGCCATCATTCTATTCCACTCCTTTATAAAAGAGATCAAACAATAAATTTTATTTCATTTAATTTTACTTATATAAAAGCAACATTTTCATTTTAAAACTACATTATAGGATATAGGTTACAAAAAACTAGATTTAATTTTGCATCATTTCTAACTTTTTAAGGCGGCTTTCCACTATTTTGGAAATGAGGCAAAATCATGATTTAGATTTAATATTTTAGCAGACTGAGATTACTTACTAAAGGAAATGAATGTACTACTTTTATTAACCAACTTTGTTTACCAACTAGAGATTATTTTTTTCCCTATAGTGAAAGCGTGCGGATTTAAAAGTAGATTTTAGAGAATTGTGACTGAATCCATGGAAGACTATAGCTACGTCATCTCTCCGAGGACCGCGTAATAACCTTAAGCTTTGCAAAAAACATGGAAGATGTCTGTGCATCCAAAACTGTGGTTGATATAGTGAAAGAGGTTAAAAAAGTTAAAGGCACTGATGTAAATAGCAAGGATACTGACAAGTGGATCCTGCTCCACTATGCTATTACTAAAGGTAGGCTAGAAATGGTAAAACATCTTGTTGACAAGGGCGCTGATGTAAATGGCAAAAAAACTAACGGGTGCACATTGCTGCAGTCTGCTGTTACTAAAGGTACGCTAGAAATAGTGAGATATCTTGTTGAAAACGGCGCTGATGTGAACGGCAAGGATGCTGACGGGTGGACAGTGCTGCACAGTGCTATTACTAAAGGTACGGTAGAAATGGTTAAATATCTTGTTGACAAGGGCGCTGATGTAAATGGTAAGGATAATGACGGGTGGACAGTGCTGCATAGTGCTATTACTAAATGTACGCTAAAAATGGTTAAATATCTTGTTGAAAAGGGTGCTGATGTAAATAGCCAAGATACTGACGGGTGGACAGTGTTGCATAGTGCCATTACTAAAGGTACGCTAGAAATAGTAAAATATCTTGTTGACAAGGGTTCTGATGTAAATGGCAAGGATACTGACGGGTGGACAGTGCTGCATAGTGCTAATACTAAAGGTACGCTAGAAATTGTAAAATATCTTGTTGACAAGGGTGCTGATGTAAATGGCAAAGATACTGACGGGTGGACAGTGCTGCATAGTGCTATTACTAAAGGTACGCTAGAAATTGTAAAATATATTGTCGACAAGGGTGCTGATGTAAATGGCAAGGAAACAGACGGGTGGACAGTGCTGCATAGTGCTATTACTAAAGGTACGCTAGATATAATAAAATATCTTGTTGACAAAGGTGCTGATGTAAATGGCAAGGATACGGACGGGTGGACCGTGTTGCATAGTGCTATTACTGAAGGTACGCTAGAAATAGTAAAATATCTTGTTGACAAGGGTGCTGATGTAAATGGTAAGGATAATGACGGGTGGACAGTGCTGCATAGTGCTATTACTAAATGTACGCTAGAAATGGTTAAATATCTTGTTGACAAGGGCGCTGATATAAATGGCAAGAAGACTAACGGGTGGACAGTGCTGCACTCTGCTGTTACTGAAGTTTTGCTAGAAATGGTAAAATATCTTGTTGACAAGGGCGCTGATGTAAATGGAAAGATGACTAACGGGTGGACAGTGCTACAGTCTGCTGTTACTGAAAGTACGCTAGAAATAGTAAAATATCTTGTTGACAAGGGTGCTGATGTAAATGGAAATATGACTAACGGGTGGTCAGTGTTGCACTCCGCTGTTGCTGAAGGTACGCTAGAAATAGTAAAATATCTTGTTGAACATGGCGCTGATGCAAATGGGAAGGATACTAACGGGTGGACAGTGCTGCACCATGCTGTTAGTCTTAAAAAATTAGAAGTTGTCCATTGTTTAGTTGAAAAGAGTGCTGACGTGACTCTTAAAAGTAAAATCAGCGTTGATACTCTTGACATTCTCATACTGAAGATGGCTGTTGAGAAAAATTCAGTTGCTTTGGTCAAACTTCTGTTGGAAAAGAACATCACTGTGTGGAGAGCTGGAACATTTCTGGTTAAAGGAAAGCAGATGAGTCTTCTTGAATGGAGTATTTACCTTCGTCATGATGAAATTTCAACTATCCTCAAAAGGTCCGTAAATCATCGTCAGAAGATTCAGATGTTGAAAACAATGAATTCCAAAGAGTTGGAAGAGGTAAATATTTAAAAAATATTTTAAACATAAATCTTTAAAAGGTTTTTGCCAGGAAACACCCTATAAGGTCTCTGTGATGATCAGGTCTAGTTGCCACATTCAATAGAACGACTTCACTTATTGTAAGGGTAGCACAAGTTAAAATGTTTTTTCAAAAAATATACCTCATCTAATATTGCCATATTCGAATCCATTCAACAGTATATGACAACCCTCTTCTCACAAACTGAAACACCAATGCAGGCTTTTATGGCGAAGAATCAATTCAAAATTGGCGATGGTGGTTTTTCTTGTGTCTATGTGGGTCTTATGAAGAATGGAAGTGAAGTTGCGGTAAAGAGAATTTTGGTACAAAGTGAGGACAAAACAGTTGAAAATGAAAAGGAAATCATGGATCTCATTGATGCAAACAAGTCTCCATTTATAGTGCGCTATCGGCATTTTCATCATGGCGATGACTTCATGTATCTTTTTGTTGATCTTTGCGAAGAAAACTTGAGGGAACTTGTTGATGCATGCAGTATTGAACATCTACAACTTCATGGTCCACAAATGATTAGGGAAATTCTATCCGGACTTGAATTTCTTCATGGTAAAGGAATATTGCACAGAGATCTAAAACCATCAAACGTCCTGGTTGATATTGAAGGCCGCATGAAACTGGCTGACTTTGGAATAAGCCGGGTTCTAAATGAAGATCAAACGACAGTTAAAACATTCGCTAAAGGTACATCTGGATGGATGCCACCGGAAGTTATTAAGGCAATAGACAAAGGCGAAAAAGGTTCTTTCAAAAAGAAATCAGATGTCCAGGTCGCGGGTATGATTGCTTTCTTCATCTTAACTAAAGGTGAACATCCCTTTGGATCAAAGATAAATAGAATGCAAAATATTTTAGAAGGAAACTCTGTCAATTTGAAGAAACTTGACGATAGTCGAGCTCAAAGGTTTGTGTCGTGGTTAATTAGCCACAAGATTGATGACAGACCTTATGCACACGAAGCGCTGGGGGATTTTTTCTTCGAACTAATGCAATTGAAATACAGAATATATCTACAGAGATGAAGGAAACACTGTGAGGATTTATCGCAATATCCTTACATTATGAGCGACGAGTTACGTGGTGAAAAGAATTTTATAAGCTCGAGCATTTTCCACACCTCAATACAAATAAGCATTTATAAGAGTTCGGAGCACCATTTTTCATGGTAAATGAATATCGCACAGATATCCATCAAACTTCTTCGTTGGTATCGAAGGTATATCCTCAAAATCAATATAAAACACTAGCAACAACTTGTAAAAATATTTCAAGCTTTAAGATAATGTTATGCACGGTTTCCGCCTTTATCAGCGATTATTATTCGAATTAAATTCAAATCAGTTTCACCTGATCATTATTCGTTTTTGGTTTAGTATAGACACATTTAAGGCAAAAATATGAATGGCTGCAGAAATCATCATTCTTCCTTGCTATGATAGAAAGATAATCTTCTTAAACGTTGTCTGATTACCTGGCATTAGCAAGAAACATCACCTCATTGTGAAAGTTTATCACAGTTATCGCGCCAGTTGTATTAGAGTGCAGTGGTAGAGCTCCACTGAGCTCTATAATGACTCCTATATAGCCCAATATTTATATAGCTAGTGGTTCACAGGCGCCGCCCTTACTTTTTTAAACACCTATTTATATACCAATGGCTTAACATCATCAGCTTACTTTACATTTATATGAGCCAATCCATTGCAAAACATCAGCGAATTCTTGTATACTTTCATTCCACATTTCCAAGAGTTTCCGAAAAATTTCAGAGTTAATATTTTCCTTTGCTCTCGCAGATCCTAAAGAAAAATAACACTATAAATGGCCCAAACTTTGTACTTTGAAATGTCTTGTAAATAAAATTGCTCCAGGGTTCGCGCAGGTCCGGTTTTAGGAGCGCTTCATAAAAGCACTTGAGAATGGAAATCGTGTTTAAAGTGCTTGAACAGCGCTTCAAAAAATTTAATTTTTGAAATTTTCTAGCAGGTATTGTAAGTAGATTCCTGTCATTTTTTTTTTGGCTGCTCATCATCCCCCCTTATTTTAATTATCAGAGTTTTCTACACTCTTTTTTATTTCTGGGATTCTGTTTTCTGGGTTTTCAAGACCAACAAAGTACTACATTTACTAAGGTAAACTACCCTTGGCCAAGCTCATTTACTGAATTCAAGGCGCAAGAAAAATGAGGAGATAATTTCTTTCGTAAAATTTCGAATGTTTCCTCCTATTTTTCTAAACATGTTCCGCTCTGGTTCATTGAAAGGTGCAGCAAGCCAAAAATGGTGTAAAATATTCTGACAGCACATGATATTGCTCACATTACAAACTGTACCAAATTTTTAAGCTACATTCTTACACTTTACTAGCTGAAAGAGGTAGGTGTGAGATATTTAGAAGTTTTCTCCACGGAAACGACTAAACGCTGAAGAGAAATATTTCCAGATTTTATTTAAAAAGCTTGAGAACTAGTTTCGTTTTCTTCGCAGGGGAATTGGGCGGAATTCCGTTCCCAGTGGGTGGTCTTTAAACGTCTGACGACACTTGATTTTGATCGAAAATTAGCTTTGATTTGTCGAAAACGCAGATGACAAAGATTTTTATCTAAAATATTTGTTTCAATTTCGATGCTGTATCGACACTCTTTACAATATTGTAGGACATAAACTATGGAAGGTAGGTTAATAGATTATAATCACAACGATTTGCTTCCAAAGAAGTGACTCAAGCGACTAGAAATCATTTTATGGTTGAGCCTAATATTTGTGCAATGCATTGTGTGGCATTATTAAATTACCAAACTAACAACAAGAATTCTACATCATACAGTTAGTTAAGAAGTGTTCAATCTCAGAGGACTTTTTTCAATTTGAAATGGGGGTATTTTTTCAAAGTAAAGGATCTTATTAAGTTCTGACGTATGAAATGTAATCTATTAGCTACTAGTAAAGCATTACGTACATTAGCTTTAGTTGATTTGCTTTCTACTCACATACATTATCAGTCAACAAACAATGAATCATTCACCAATGTGAATTAGCCTAGATGGGACAAAATTTGATTGTACGAACAGATTTTAAATTTCCAACATGGCAAGCAACTATAAATAACGGTATTTTTAAATATGTGTGCTCGTAGTTAAAAATTTGCATTGCTAAATCCCAAGTTCCAAAAGTTTCGCAGCGAATTTCCCGTTTTAGTTTCGTTGAATATTTCTAGCAAATACTTTGAAATTTGATTTGCCGTTTAAAAATGCCAATTGTGATCACAGAGAATTTGACAGTGTCAATGTTTACATTCTGTTCAACAATGGCTTTTCGAAGAAATCAGTCGGGTATAATACATTCTTACACTTGACGAGCTGAAAGAGGTAGGTGTGAGATATTTATAAGTTTTGTCCACGGAAACGACTAAACGCTGAAGATAAATATTGCCAGATTTTACTTAAAAAGCTTGCGAACTAGTTTCGTTTTCTTCGCAGGGGAATTCCGTTCCCAGTCGGTGGTCTTTAAATGTCAGACGACACTTGATTTTGATGGAAAATTAGCTTTGATTTGCCGAAAACGTAGATGACAAAGATTTTTATCTAAATTATTTGTTTGAATTTCGATGCTGTATCGACACTCTTTACAATATTGCAGATCATAAACTATGGAAGGTAGGTTAGTAGATTATAATCAATTAATCACAACGATTTGCTTCAACAGAAGCGACTAGAAATCATATGTTACAGTCGAGTCGAATATTTGTGCAATGCACTGTGTCACATTACCAAATTAACCACATTACCAAAATTACCAAACTAACAACAAGAATTCTACAGCATACAGTTGATTAAGAAGTGTTCAATCTCAGAGCCTTTTTTCGATTTGAAATAGGGGTATTTTTTCAAGGTAAAGGTTCTTCTTATCTTCTGACGTATGAAATGTAACCTATTAGCTACTAGTAAAGCATTGTGTACATTAGCTTTAGTTGATTTGCTTTCTACCCACATACATTACCAGTCAACAAACCATCATTCATCATAGTGAATTAGATGAGGCAAAATTTGATCATGTGAACAAATTTTAAATTTCGAGCATGGCAAGCAACTATAAATAACGGTATTTTTAAATTTCCGTGTTCATACTTGAAAATTTGAATTGCTAAATCCCGAGTTCTAAAAACTTTTGCAGCGAATTTCACGATGAAATAATTCCCTTTTTATAATTCGTTTCGTTGATTATTTCTACCAAATACGTTGAAACTTTATTTTGCCGTTTAAAATGCCAATTGTGATCACAGAGAATTTGACAATGTGAGTGTTTACATTCTGTTCGACAATGGCTTTTCGAAGAAATCAGTCGAGCATATGAATGCATGAATATACACCCTCTAATTAAAATTCATTTGGAATTTTTGGCTGCCTTTAATTATATTTTACTTTCAGTGGTACTTACCCGTGCGCTGTAGTGTGCTTGTTTTGTAGTTCGCCCTGGGTACGAGACTATTAATATTTAATAAATATTTCTTAACAAGTTTGTGTCAGATTCTTAGAAACATTCTGATTTTAAATCCGATAGCTTACGACATTTATGTGCATTTTGCCATTTTAGTACGAAGTCAAAAATTGTCTGATATTGTCTTTGTTTTACTACACACTTTCTAATTAAAATTCTTTTGCAATTTTGAGCTACGTTTAATTGTATTGCACTTTTTATTAGTAGTGTTACTGTTACGAGTAGTGCTTTCCAGTGCGCTTACGCAGCTTAGCCACTGATCAATGTTAAAAGCCTGTAGTGTGCCTATTTATAGTTCGCCCTGGTTACGAGCCTGAAATATTTAAGAAATATTTGTCACCAATTTCGTGTCAGATTGTTAGAAACATTTTCATTTTAAAACGATAGCTTGTGAAATTTTGATTTTTATAGGCGGAAAAATTGGCATTTTAGTACGAAGTCAAAATTGTCTGATATTGACCGTTTTACTCAAAGATAGCGAGAATAACGGATATTGCTGCAATAAAGTTTTTAACTCGATATTTCGTTAATGAAACTAGTACTTTCCTGCAATTTAGAATTCGTGGACCACCCCTGTTTTTATACACGGTGACCCCAAAAGTCCTCTTTAAAACATACTTTATTGTTACTTTTGGCGGCTTCACTTCATGCATGTAAATTCTAGTGATTTAAACGGTCTTAATTTCGAGTGGAATTATGCACACTTCAAATTGAAGCAAGGAACAGTTTATGGAAAAATGAGTCAATTATCGGTTTTCCTAGTTGTATATAACATTAATTAGTTCTATACCACTCGGAACTCCCCCCCATTTATTTTGTCCCATTTTTACGTTCGTAACGTTTATAATAGGAATTGATAAGAAGCAAGAAGCAAGTGGAAGTACAAGTGTCTGCGAATATCTTCGAGACGATGGAATAGCTTCTAAGAGTCAAATGCAGTCTTCATCATTAGCAATTGTCAAGTTTTTGGTTAAATATTGTGGTGCTGACGTACGTCTCAAAGATGAGTCGGGGAAAACTGTTTTACATCACGCTGTTGACGGTGGTACAACAGACATTGTCAAATTTTTCGTTGAACAATGTAGCGCTGATGTAAATGGCGAGGATACAAAAGGGAGGGCTGCGCTGTACTATGCTGTTACCGAAGGTTCGCTAGAAATGGTTGAATATCTTGTTGAAAAGGGCGCTGATGTAAATGGCAAAGATACTGGCGGGAGGACAGTGCTGCACGCTGCTGTTACTAAAGGTAAACTAGAAATGGTAAAACATATTTTTGACTGGGACGCTGATGTAAATGGCAAAGGTCTTACTAAAGGTACCCTGGAAATAGTGAAATATCTTGTTGAACATGGTGGTGACGTAAAATTGAAAAGTGAAAGGAGCGATCATACTCTTGGCATTGACATACTGGAGATGGCTGTTGAGAAAAATTCAGTTGCTTTGGTCAATCTTGTGTTGGAAAAGAACATCGCTGCAGGGGCGCCGTGGGTGTGCTAATGTAGGGGTGGCCAAAGCCAACATTATTCCGACCAGCACGTTTTTTTTCCGACATCTTTATAAGAAAAAAGTAACGAATATTGATAAAACTGACAGGGGGTTTTGGGCAAGGACGCGCATGCATTTGCTATGACAAAGATCACGAGCTACGTCTACTAATTTAAATTGACGCTTCATGCACAATGAATATGACAGTCATGACAGATAAATATTCACGTTTTACATACGCTTTTCAATTGAGTAGTTGAATAATTTTTGACACAGTTAACTGTTTGTCGGAAAACTGTATTACAGAGATTTCTAATCCACGTGCATTAACAAATAACGCGATACGTTATTTCACGATACTCTATTATAGCTTTATAATCTTAGTGGATGAGCATACAGCGTATTCTATACGCAACATTTGTTTATAACCAAAATATAAACATTCGCAATTGCTTCAATCCTCTCATCAGTTTAGTTCTTCCGCTGTACTATCGTGGTACCTTATCTTTGTAGCTATAAACTTCAGGAACCGTTTGACTAAAAGTACTAACTTGAAAAGGATTTGCTGTAGCTTCAGCAATCTGATACGGAACATGCAGGTGTTTCTTTAGACGGTCACCATATAATGCATTAAACTGTATAAACTCACTGAACAATAAATGCGTTCGAAAGTACATCGCCATTCATGATTTTATCGCGCCAATCTCCGACATTAATAGAAAATATGTTTATCGGAAACCGGAAACGTTCGGAAGAAACAGCTAGTTTAGCCTGCGCGACAACAGTATAATAAAAAATTGGGGTAGTGTCGTACCGTATAATATTAGAAATAACCGCGTCTATTTTCTGATAGTTCAAATACTTTTGGGTTGTTCAAAATACAATATATACTCCGACAACATGCAATGTTCGTAAATTTCCGACAGGTTTTAATCCTGGGGAGGGGCCATGGCCCCCCCTGGCCCCCCCGGCCACGGCGCCCCTGCATCGCTGTGTGGAGAGCTGGAACATTTTGTGTTGAAGGATGGCAAAGAAGTCTTCTTGAATGGAGTATTTACCTTGGTCACGATGAAATTGCAACTATCCTCAAAAGGTCCGTAAATCATCGTGAAAAAATTCAGATATTGAAAACAATGAATTCCAACCAGTTGGAAGAGGTAAATATTTAAAAACTATTTTACACATAAATGAAGTTATTTCAGTGAGTTTGGGCAGTAAGGTTTACCATCCACAACGTTATAGCTCGACAAGCTTTAACCTGCTGCACGACTGCAACTACACAATTGGGTTTCGTTCCTGTTTAGCCAGGCTCGTGTGATGTGTGAATATTGTTAATGATTTATTGCCTTCATTTATTTCAACATTCAAGTGTTTTTTTAAACTTTTTCTTTTCACCACAGAAAACGTATGCTTTTTTAATTATAATTTTCACCCCATAGACTGAAATACCGATCCAGGCTTTTGTCGCAAAGAATCAATTCAAAATTGGCGATGGTAGTTTTTCTTGTGTGTACGTTGGTCTTATGAAGGATGGAAGTGAAGTTGCTGTTAAGAGAATTTCGGTGCAAAGTGAGAACAAAACAGTAGAAAACGAAATCATGAATCTTATTGAAACAACCTCTCCATTCATTGTGAAATATCGACATTTTCACCGTGACGATACCTTCATGTATCTTGTTGTTGATCTTTGCGAAGAAAATTTGAAGGAATTTGTTCATGCATGCAGTATTAGACATCTACAAAAGTATGGCCCACGAATGATTAAGGAAATTCTATCAGCACTTCAATTTCTTCACAGTAAAGGAATATTGCACGGAGATCTAAAACCATCAAACGTCCTGGTCGATATCGATGGTGCAATGAAATTGGCAGATTTTGGAATAAGTGGCATTCTGAATGACGATGAAACGACAGTTGAAACAAATGCTGAAGGTACTCCTGGATGGATGCCACCGGAAGTAATTGAAGCAATAGTTAAAAAAGAAAGAAGTGGTTTTAAAAGAAAGTCCGATATTCATGTCGCGGGTATGATTGCTTTTTACGTGTTAACCAAAGGCGAACATCCCTTTGGATCTGAATTAGATCGAATGAAAAATATTTTAGAGGATAATCCTGTCAATTTGGAGAAACTTAGCAACGACATAGCTCGCAGGTTTGTGTCGTGGCTGATTAGTCACAAGATTGATGATAGACCTCATGCTGACGAAGCATTGAGGCCTTTTTCCTTCCTGATGGATTCTTCAGTCTTCCTGACAGAAATGACACACCGAGGACATTATTTGGACTAGGTAGAACACATTGATTGATTGATTAAGTTTTTATTTCAAATAATTAAAAAATCATCCGTAATATACAATATATACGGATGATTCTTTGAGTTTGTGAAATTAAAATTTATACATGCTAGAATACGCTCTTGCTCGATTAGAATGGCTTTGCATGGGTTATTGAATAGTGTACGTGGGGCAGATGTATCCCCGTTGATATTTAATATAAAAACGTCCCTCCCCTTCTTGTAAAGATAAAGCCTTATCAGCAAACTAAGTTGCTTTAAATTTGTACATTGGCATAAATGCTCTAGACATAGGTGATTTAAGTTTTTTTCAAATGTGGTATAAATGTGAAAATATGCACGGTGCTTTTTCGTGTGTGACAACACCACAAGCCTAAATAGGCCAGCTCCTAGCTAGCTCTTGTATACGTACAGCTTTTAAGATAATTAATAAATTATATGAATTGCACTTTTAGCATATGGCTCACATTTTCTTCGCTAATGTTTCTTGCAATGGACCTTCTGGTGAGTGCTTTTATCTGTTGCATGCATTCATTCTGCAGAATGCAAATACTTCGAATATCAACGCATTGTAGAAGTTGCAAAGTAATACAGTGGTGATCAAAAGTCTGAGTCCAGTCGATAATTTTTCTTATAATTATTACAATAATTTACAATAAATAAATGATATCTTGTGAGTTGGAGATTGGATATGTTGATCTGGACTTGTGCATTTTATGATGGTAATGCCTCCTATAGACATCTCGTTAATTCTCATGGTATTTAAGTTGAATAGGAAATGCGTATTATTCTTTTTGTGGACCAAAGATGGTAAAGAGAGGGCCAACAATGAGGGGCGCAGCCAGCTTGATGATATTGTCCCGTTATGTAAATTTCGAGTATTATAATTATTCATTTCCTTAGAAATTTATCAGTTGTTTTCAGAGTCAATTAATGAACACCAAAATATTAGCATAGCGGGACAAATCGTCAGCCTGGTTACGCTACTGCCAACAATGATGGGATGCTTCGAAAAAGTTGTGAGAAACTAGGATGAGATTATATGTATCAAACGAAAAGTTGGAAACGTTTTGTGAATCAGGTTCGTATTCAATTAAATGAAAATCTGCGATACCAAAGGCAACTCCTGCAAAGGAAAATGGAAAGAAAGCAGAAGGAAAACCAGTGGCTGTCTTTAATCAATGGTGGAATAGAATTGAAACACTAATGCTAACAAAACTGGTTCACTTTATCCCACTAAAGTCAAAGCTGTTTTGAAACGTAAAAAAGGTCATAAAAATATTAGAACAGTGCCAATTTATGTTAAATCCTAAACACTGGAACGACGGAATTGGTTTTATTTAGTTATAAATATTTTTACCTCGGAGCTGAGCCTCAAATAAATAAAACTTTTCAGTATTAAACGTTTTGCAGGCTATAAATATAAAACTTAATATAAAAAATCAATCTAAAATAAACAGTCGTTATTTTACTGAACGAAATACAACACTTTCAGGTTCACGACAGACCCAATTGTCTTAAAAGTCTACCATGAAATTTTTATCAAGTTAGCTTTATTACATTATGAGTTATCTTTTCCCAAAATAAACGGAATGAGAATTTTAGTTTTAGAAAAAAGAAACGAAAAACGTTTTGCATATATTCATGAATTATAGAGGACAATACAATAGAACAATGAAACGACAGATTAAGCCAATTGGACCCCTTTTGTTTGCTCAGGGTAAAACCTTGATTGATGAAACTTTTCGTTCAATTCTCGCGTTCTTTATATATATACTTTAAGAAAAAAAATTCAGGATAGATTAGGAGGACATAAATTATAAGTTTCCATCCCTTGAAATTTTAAAAACAGAAGATATCGTGATTTTTGTGTATAAGACCACCTTAAGGCATTCAAATTAAGATATTCCGTATTCACATCGTCAATAGACCTTTCTTATAATGACGTCAAACGCGGAAAGTCTGATGTTACATGAAATTTGATTGGCTCCACAAAATTATCGAGCCAATTAAACTTCGTGTAAGATCAGTCTTTCCGCGCTTGACGTCATTATGAAAAAGATCTATTCATTCAATTCCTATCAAAAGCTTGATTTTCATAGGGGGTAATTATTTCATGAAATTAATCCACGCTTTATATACGCAAACAAGTTGTACGAATGAATAGGATTAGAATATATATATATATATATATATATATATATTAATATATATATATATATATATATATATCGATAAACATTTTCCTGGCAAGCATAAATTAAGCAAGATTTTTAACAGAAAGAATGTGAAAGTCAGCTACAGTTGTATGAATAATATGGCATGCATCATAAGACGACACAACAACACAATCCTTAACCGTAAGCCGAATTTGCCTGAAAGAAACTGCAACTGCAGAGTTAAGACGTGGTGCATGCCTGACCAAGAGTATTGTTTAAAAAGCAGATATAACAGCAAATGGCCACGAAACAAAGCACTACATCGGCATGACTGAACATGAATTCAAAACAAGGTACAATGTCCACAAGCAATCATTTAAACATGCAAAATATGAAAACTCTACTGCATTGTCAAAGTACGTCTGGAAGTTAAAGAAATTGGATGTTGAATATTCTATCAAATGGTCCATTTTGAAACGAGCAAAGGCATACACTGCTGGATCGAAACAATGCGCCCTGTGTTTGACGGAGAAGCTCTGTATTATAAACGCTAACAAAGGCACTCTTTTAAACAAAAGATCTGAATTAATTTCTAAGTGTAGACATGAAAACAAATTTTATGCTAGTAATTATAAGCCAGCGTAGACGCCTGCCTTTATTTAGTCTGATGATCGCCTTTGAGCGTGAAACTCCGAGTTACTGACGGTTTTTAGTTTATAATTTTAGTATTTTAATATAAATGGATTTCTCGTTTTAACAGTTTTAACTATTTTATATATATATATATATATATATATATATATATATATATATATATATATGAATATATATTATATTATAATATATATATATATATATATATATATATATATATATATATATATATATATATATATATATATATATATATATATATGTATATATTACAGCTATAGCTTTTTAGAGCCGTTTTATCTAGGGTTTTTGATATATAGTAAACAACACAAAAACAAATTTAATCGAGTTATACATAATGCACAGTAAATTTTTAAATACAACAACAGTAGTTCATAGTTCATAGATATAAACATTAACCATCTTTGTTGACAATGCATGTGACACAACTGTAGAATATAGCTACCCTGCAAGGGTAACTATCAATTTAAGTAACTTTTTCATTCTATAGTCTACAATTACTTTTTATTTGTGGGTCAGCTTTTTCTTAGTATATTCCCTTTTAAGCATACGGAATTTCTTATGAGTCATCCTCATGCATGTGGATTTTACTGTGCATAGGATTATTTACCGAAACATGCATGCATGTGGTATAATGTATGGTGGTGTATAATTTTATACTTGTTGTTCCCCAAGTTCCAATTTATAATTTCTAAGCACACGAGATTCAATGTTCATTACGCTTATACTTAACACGTGAATAATCCTGAATGCTTTAAATCACTTTATATACTGACCTATAGTCATCTCAGAGTATAGTCGTCGCCGACTGTTTTTCTCAATTCTGTGACGAAACGTGTAGCTACAAGGAAAAGTCCAACTCGTCGTCAGACATTTCATCTAAACTTGCCTTGATAAGTTCATCGTTCGTTGCGAAAGCTGTCATTCCTAAAAGACACGGCATGATTCGTCGTGGTTCGCTATCATTGGAAGGTTTAATACACAACGCCACTTCTTTCGATCAATACGATAAAAGCCATGCAGCACATACATTGAGAATTTGAGAATGCGTCGTGCTTATTCGCCTCAAACAAATCAACATCGCTGAACGAACAAAACAGCACCTTTCATTAGGATTGAAATTGTGCACGGAAACGTTTTTGCGCTTTTCATGCGTGTCGAGGATTGGGTCTTTCATCATCTATTTGTTTCAAACAGTACAACTACAGGGTGTCCCAAAAAAACGAGTCTATTGAAATCACCCATAACAATGCCATTGTTATAGAGTTTGAATGCCCAAGCACTCTGTTGGGCCCACAAGTGTATAAATCAGGGTTGCCATAAGCATTTTTATGCATGCATATGATGCAGTCAAATTTGCTTGTTCGCAAAAATGATATTTATCAACAATATTTACAATTTACAAATTTGGATAACATTATTTAAATGTACATCTCAAGGACCGTGACCTTCGATTTGTCCCCTTTCTCTAGCAACACAACGCATTTAGCATTTTATAAGATGCATTAAATCCCCACGGGCTGAAATTCGTGAGCACGGCATTCAAATTTGAACAATGAGTGATTTCAATAGTTTTCGTTTTTTTTGGGACACCCTGTAGTTCAAATCAAAGCTGAATTGACTTCGAATGATAGGAAAATAGGTGTGCCTCCGTATTATAATATGTAAATTTTTCCAAATTGATAGCGTGTAAGACTAGATGAAATACTAGACAAAAGAATGTAATGACGTGTGTCACATAATTGTCGACACAGCGACAGACTGCAAATAAAAGGTATAAAGGGTCAACAAAAGCAAATTCAAAAGAAATTATTTATGCTAATGCCTTATATCATGTACATAGTTTAGTTCAAGTTTACAATATGATGTAGGTCTAGGGCATTACAACAGTAATTTACGAGTAAAATGTTTAATTAGGCATGCGCTGTAACGATTAATTAAATACGACAATGGTGGGTAATATAATTATTTAACAGCATGTGCACGAGACGAGAAGAATTAGTGATAATCAGTGGCGGATCTACAGCTGTGCAGACTAAATGACTACAGCTTAAAATCGGAATCGCATTCAGCAGATTTTAATGTAAAAATATTATTATTTTCAAATCTATAACCGATAGCGTTGTTATTAAGATATTTTGAATTTAAAATTAAGCTGTGTAATTTATTCTGCAAATCCCTAGATCCGCCATTGGTCATAAGTCGGGCAATTTGGGCAATTTACGATAAACTCACTAAAACATAAAAATCTGATATTACGCCACTCGACCTCGTCTATAGAATTCTGACCTGCACTTCAGAATCTCGAGCCTCGACAAAAACCTAGACTCAGCTAGCAGATGGCGTGTTGCACCATCTTCGTCTTTTTGCATGCAGTTAGACTTTCAGTGGCTTCGCCCTCATCGTATCAAACTAATCTTAAATCATAAATAGCATCGTGACTTTATATTGCACGAAATACTGCGCCATTCCTTCTATAAAATGGAGTTATGTATCAGCTAATTAGCTCGACCACGCAAAGTCGACCCCTTTTCTCATTATAGATAGTGCAAGCAGCTCACTTCTAACGGAATTTATTTAGATTAATTATTATTTGAGATATCACCTTTGCACCTGTTAC